TGTCGAATTCCTGTTTTTAGCGTCATGGGTCCAGAGACTTACCGCTGAGTCACTGGGGGTGGGGGAGTTGAGAGTTTTTAGAATTGATCATACATACTTACATATGTGTGTATGTGTTTAAATTATTAACGTTAAAATTGTGACTGGTTCATACACAAGGTGCCATATTTTGGTGGCAACTTTGAATACACCAATTTCTCACAGTAAACTTTACTCTGTGCACTTAGTAGAAACAACAATAAATGTTCTATTTCTTATTATTTTCATTGGTGGAGGTCTTATAAGTCATATCTAAGTCTGGCAGTCAATGAACGGTCTTGGATAATAAAAGTGGTACAATAAAAGTAACAAATTATCTTACTATCCAGTCAGTTACTTGTTAAGTTTCCTCTTGTTCCTATAGCACAAATTCAATAAATATGTGCAGCACTCGTTAACTCAGCAGTTAATGAACTATTCACTGTGTGATTAATTCGTTTCAATAAATATGTGCAGCACTCGTTAACTCAGCAGTTAATGAACTATTCACTGTGTGATTAATTCGTCAACAGCAACTCCCTGTTGTTTTCATACAAAATTTTACACCAAGACTAAAAAATTTGAAATTTCACGTCAAATCTCGACACTTGGGGAATTTTCTAGCCATTACACATCATATAAAAAACTTCCTCTAGAAAACAATACAAAATATCTATATTAAAATATTAAAACAACACTGCTCCCTCCCTTGGATTGTAAAATCCGATGACCAGTTTTAATACACAAATAAAGTCATTATTTCCACTCAACAAAAATTAATATTTATAAATAGTCATTACAATATCTAAATAATTGATTAAATCTGTTATAAAATACCATCGAAATTCTGATTAACAAAATATTTTTGCTATCTTACTGTGTCGAAGCTGTTCAATCACCAGATATTTTAGGCGGTTTCCCTTTCTGTGGTTTATGATACAAAGATGGAATGACTTCTTTTCCTTTATTGTCACTTGCTGTCTTGTTACTGGGTGACTTCTCTCCAGGTAGATAGATGATTGAGGGAGTTCTGTGGTAGCTCCATCCTTGGTGACACTCTGAAAGTGGTCTTAATAAAAATCTGAGGCTTTTAAGCAGGTTGACTTATCATTGACAAAGCCTTCTCTGAAGCTAACTAGTTGGCTATTCTTTCACTGATGTACTTTTGGATTCTATAAACCAAATTTCTAGTGGATTCACATCATTGATTTTATTTTTACTATAGCATAAGGTTCTTCTCAACATCTACTTAACTTCAGAGTTTGCCTTCTTTTGTGTTGGGGAGTGCAGAATCATAACATATCACCACAGTAAAATCCATCTTATCCTAATTTACATTATAGTAGCTTTTCATCTTATCATTGGCTGATTTTAGTCTCTTTTGGATAAAGTCATGTATGACACCAATGAGGTTCTTAATTTCTCTGCATGCTGTGTGTAAGATTCTTTAGAGTAATTATCCTTAGGATGTGAGCACTTTGAGTTTGCTGTATATTTATGTACTGCTGTTTAATAACTTAAGATTAGAAGTCGAATATCTTGATCCCATGTTTTCTGATGTTTATTTACAGAAATAGTTAACTGATCTAAAAGTGCATGGTTGTATCTCTTGATCATTCCACGAGAAGATGGATGAAGGGCTGTTGTCTTGGTCTTTATGATTTCAAGGGTTTAGTACATTTCTCCTATCTACGGAATTTTTCGTTTGTGTATTTCAAGAAACTGAAGTAACAGACAAATGGACTAACAAACTCGCTAACTTAATAATCAATCAACCAATAATAGACTAATAGATTACATTTTTAATTTTACTTTGGTGAAAATATTTGTTGATTTATTCTTAAGCACAAAGCAACACAATGCCTGACGCGTGCTATACCCACCACGAATGTCGAAATCCGGTTGTTGTCGTCGTCTAGGTATGAATTTTGGTTTGAAACAAGAGACGTTCAGAAATTTGGATTTCTCTTTGCGGTAAATCTGTGGAATTATCGCTGAGTCACTGGGGGGGGGGGGGATTAGTGAAAAGAACTCTCTAATATAATGATAAAACAGTTGATTTACTGTTTAATATTGAATAATAGATTAGGTGTAAGGTCATAATATTATATATATATATTATTCACACATCAAAATTAATTTAGGTTATTATATGGTGATTTAAGAAGGAATCAAAAACTCAATAAATATTAT